TTTGGAGTTGTGAGCATCACCCCTGAAAATTTTTATGTTGTGGTTCTAGAAGAGAAAGAGATAATAGGTGATGATTTTGTTTTGGAAAAACTACTTTGCTTGGGACAAGCAAGATTCTAGGTCGAGGGGAGTTGTTAAGTGGTAAAAAGTTGATATAATTATGCATTGAATTGTTATGAAACCACTTAACTTATGTTAATTCTAATATATTTTTCTCCCAATATAGGATGAATTTGAGAATACCTTGATACAAGAGTAAGGAGCATAATTGTCAGCATAATTGGAGTAAAATTGAAAGAAAGAAGAGCGCTTAAGGGAATGAATGATGCGAGGCCCGACCCAAATTCTCTTATAAAAAGATAAGTTGTGTTTTGAGAAAAGAAGCAGTCTTGGAGGAGAGGAGGCATGACTACTGTTAGGGTTTTGTCTAATCTTCATCAATTCTTCACTTCTTCATCAATTGGAGCATTGTAATGGCCAACATGAGTGACTAACTTCATTATCTTAGGATTCGGTGCACTTCCTTTGAAATCTTTTGTATCATGGTGATATTTTGAGATATTAATCTATGCTTTGATGTTGTTATTCTTATCCTTTATGCTTTGGAATGATTTATTCTTCATTGTTTGAGGTATGATTGGAAAATATATCTTGAACCCTAGATCACGGTAAGAATATTTGTTACGTTAATTGCCAGGAATGGAATGAATGTATCAATTGCTTAAACACCCTAACCCTAATGCTGGAAAATCTGTTAATTGTGTGAGGAATCAACATTTATTAGGCTTTCTTATTAATTTCATGTGTGGGAATCAACATGGATGATTTGAGTAGGTGACATCAACATTGTTAGGTTAATTGACGTTCTTAATTGACATAACCATTACAAAAGAGGGATAAGGAAGGAAGTCAATCCTAAGTATCTTTAATTGATATTTTCTCAACAGTTTATTGTTCTTTGTCATTTAATTTCAATTCAACTCTTATTTGCAAAACTCAATCTATTTTAATATACTTAGTAAGCATAATTGGGAATTTTCATTGAAACTGTTCCTCGTGGGATCGACTTTTATTTTATTGAAATACTATACTGCGATTGATAATTTTGGTACGCTTGCCAATAATTCAACAAAACTGTTCATTCCTTTTATTTATTCAAAGGAGGTGTTCATCCCTAGTGGGATTCTAGGGAAGTGTTCATCCTTAGTGGGATTCTAAGGAGTTATTTTCATCCCTTTGATTTGTTCGGGGAGGTGTTCATCCTTTGTGTGTTGGTGGCAAAGGAGGTGATTTTCATTCTTTGATTTGTTCAGAGGAGGTGTTCATCCCTGGTGGAATTATAAGGAGGTGTTCATCCTTAGTGGGATTCTAAGGAGGTGTTTGTCTTTTGAATTAGTTTGCTTTTTACTGGTTTCTCTACTGAGTTGATTGTAATTTGTAAATTGAATTTAAAAGATAGTGAATTGCGGTCACTTTTGTGATTTAAAGTTGATTGGGAACTGAATGTAGGGTTGACTATACCCGAACCAATATAAATTACTGTATGTTTTTCTCTTCCTTATACCTTTGTGATAACATCTACTTATTTCCTTCCCTTTATATTTTTGTGATTATATCACTTCCATTATATCTATACTTTATCTGATAATTAAAATTGAATTAACAAAGTATTTGACATCTTAAATAAATAAATTTTAATTTGTGCATCTATTCACCCCTTCTAGATGTCATTTGTCTAACATGAACTATAAAGTTTAGATGAGGGGGGCCAACATATAAATTAATCATCATATAAAAATAAATATATTACATATTAATATTATTTATTAAATTTAAATTTTAGGATATAAAGTTTTATCATCTATTTTTTTCTTTTAAAAAATGAGTCTATAACTTTATTTTTAAATATCTTTAAAACCCAAATTGATTTTTTCATTCACATTTAACATCAAAATAGAGTGTCATGAAATATTGAAATAATGAACTAATTCATAACAAATAAAAAAATTATATCAATATTTTATATTTTTATATTAAAGTAAACATGCTAATTTGTTATAATACAGTGATTTTTACTTCAAACAATAAAAACTATTGTGACGTATCCTTTTTATTTTTTAACTTTTTATCTTAGGTCTTTTTGAACAAAAGATAAAACAAAATTAAAGAATAAAAAATTACAATATTTATGTTGTAGAGATGAGATTATAAAAAAAATCTAAAGAAAAAAATTTATAATTTCTTTTAAGGTGAAAAAAATGAAGAGAATAATATTAAAGCTAATAAATAATAAAAATATAAAAAGATAAAATAATTATTTGATAAAAAAAATTGATGGGAAAAATAAAAAGACAAGAGAAGAAAGATAAAAGTACGAAAATAGAAAAAAAAAGAAAAAGAATATAAATAAAAATTGTGTAAAAAAATTAAATATAATATTTATTATAAAAAAAGTGAAAAAAATAAAATATTTTTTTAATATTTATCAAATAATTTTTATTTTGTAATATATATATATATATATATATATATATATATATATATATATATATATATATATATTTGATTTGGGGGCCATGCCCATACCCCGCCCCCTTCCTCTCGCCTTTGGTCGTATGCAGTGGTGGATCTTGACCATTGATCTTGGGAGGCCAAATAATATATTATTAATAAATAATAAATATAAAATAATATATTATTAATAAATAATAAATAAATATAAAAGGAAGAAAGAAGATGAAAGGGTAAAAGGATAAAATTGTAGATATATATTTAAATATATTAAATGATCATTAAGTTTGAGGGAGACAAAGTCATAAATTACATGGGAGTTACAAAATTGAGGAGGGGCTGAGAGGATAGAATTGTAAATATACAAGTAAATATATTAAATGTTTATTAAGTTTGGGGGGGCCAAAATCATAAATTACATGGGAGTTATAAAACATTAGGGGGGCCACGGCCCCCCTCAGCTCCCAAGAAGATCCGTCACTGGTCGTATGACCAACATTCACAAAGTATTTATGATACAGCGTTAATATTTAAAACCTCTAATTTTTGTTAAAAAAAATGTTAATTATTGTATGATCGACTTCGAAATGAGTTGAATTCCAAATTAAAAAGTTAGCATGTCACTTAAATTAATTTACTAACTCTTTTAGGAATTAAATATAAACTATTATACATTTTTAAGACACAAAGAATACATATATATCACACTTTTTGGTTTAGAAAGATAATTTGAAATACAAAATTACATTTTATTTTACTTTTCTTTTCAATAAAAATTGAAGAGTGATGTCAAAATAGACTTAATCTAAAACATTTGAGAAATAGTGACAAACAAATTTAGGCTCTTGCTTCCTGCACTCCCATGATTTCTTCTTGCACCTCCATACCCCAAGTCAAATATTTAAGATATCTTTCTCATAATTTTATTTTTCACCTTAATTTCTTCTTCTTTTTCTTCTATTTGTGTACAACTTCTACACCTCTATCCCTCAACACCTCCATCCTTTGACTATTTGATTTTTTTGTACTATCACCTCCATTAGAAGACCATTTCTAAAAATTAAAGGTAAATAATTATTAATATTATCTATAAATTACATATTCCTATACTCAAATTATACAAATAGACTAAAATTGCTCAATCTAAAACAATGTTGTGAAAATGAGGTTGAGTTTTGGAAAAGCCAATCCAGAATTTTGGAAAGACCAATTCGAAAATGCATTCCAGAATGGATGTTCTAGAATGCGTTTTCGGAAAAATATTTTGGGAAATACATTTTATATTGGATGTTTTAGAATACGTTTCCGAAAATATATTCCATATTGGATGTTCTGAAATACGTTTCCAAAAATGTATTCCAGATTAGGTGTTTTGGAATGCGTTTCTAGAAAAGCTTTTTTGAAAACATATTCGGATTAGATGTTCCAAAATGCGTTTTTGGAAAAGCCTTTTCAAAAATGTATTCGGATTGAGTGTTCTAAAATATGTTTCTGGAAAAACATTTTCAAAACTGTATTTGGTATTGAATGTTATGGAATGTGTTTCTGGAAAAACCTTTTTGAAAACGCATTATGGACTGGATATTCTGGAATGTATTTCTGGAAAAGTCTTACTAGAAATGCATTTCAGATTGGGTGTTATGAAATGTGTTTCCAGAAAGGTCAATTCGGAATGTATTTTAAAGATGAAGATAAGTGTAAAGGTAAAATAATATTTAATATAATTATGGGGGTGCAGGAAGCAACAACAAAAAAATTATGACAAAATTTAATTAAGCTTATTTTGACTTGATCCATTTAGACCATGACTTATATGGATTTAGGTCAAATTAACCTTTAGGTTATAAGACCAGTTCATTTTATAAAATAATAATTATTTTAAAAAAATAATATTTTTAAAAAATACATGTATTATAAATTAATTTGATAAAATATTCACTTATTTTAAGTCTCTATCAACTATTTATTTTAATATCTAATTATTATAATTAATTATATTAAAAAATAATAATGATGATAATAAATAGTATGTTTTTAATTGAGTAATTGATTCTCTCGTAATTTGTATATTAAATAATTATATGTTGAATAAATTGATTTTATTAATATACTTTAAATTTTAAACATTTTTTATTTTTTATTTTTATTAAATATTTTTTTAATTAGTTATTTTGATATAAACACTTTAATATTTTTTTAATTTTTAATTAGACCAAGATTAACCCATTAGCTCGTTAGTTTAACCTAAAGTTAAATTAAATTAAAAATTATGACATATTTTAAAATATAAGTAAGGTTAGATTGTCATTAGACTAAATTAGACTAGATCACCTTACATCTCTAAACTAATAAATAATACTTGATGTATATTTTTTTATCGATAAAAAATGAATACACACAAAGATAATCACACACCATGTTCACTGAACTCCTTATTTGAAATGATCCATTTTGAAACAAGAAAGAATGAGTTGATTGTTTTGAGATAGAAGGAGAAATACCTACTGTGTTATGTGGAATGCCTCATTCAGAGTGGTGTTCCTCTTTTGGGAGGAGAAGAAGGTTTGCAACATTAAATAAGGGGAAGTTTTCTCCAATATAAATAAGTACGTTACAAAAGCAAGTATATAAGCGTGTTCATCGTAGCATTATCTTGTTGTTGCCGTCTTATTCTTTTCTATTTTCTGGACAAGGACATCATGTTTTTGTTGGGAAGTGTATGAAAAGAAGAAAGGTTACAAATAATATATTCTCATTCAAGGTTATTCTTCTGGGATTTTGGAATCTCTTAATGCTAAGATATGTAATCTTTAAATTAAAGCATGTATTCCCTCTTTTTTTTTTTCTTTTTTTTTTTTTTATGTGGATTATAGACATGAGGGGCTTGAAATATGATATATCTCTTTTAATATTATATATATATATATATATATTTTTTTTTTTATTATCTACTATTTTAATTCTGTATGGTGAAAGTAGTAGTAATATTGAGTGGATTACAATACAGTTCTCACATTTTTACGTGACATGCATTTTACCTTGAACTTGGATTTGATCAAAATATTAAAAAGATATCTTTTGCAGTGTATTTGTTTCAATGATCGAAATATTAGATCCAAATATGCGATAAAAATATGTATTTCGGTGTAAAAAAATTATAAAATAGAGGTAAGATTTTGTCTCTTCATCTATGCGAACAGCGAAAGTGTTTTTTTTTTTTCATAATCAGTTATGTAAGTTTACATAATAGTATAAGAACATAATTGTTTAAAAAAATTCATTAATATATATTTTTTATTTTATTATATTAATAAATAATTAAAAAATCTATTAAAATAATAAATGAGATTATTAATAATAAATAAATTTATTTAATTTTTCAGTATTTTCTCTTAATTTAAAAAAGTCTCATTTTTTATTCTCTTTTTTACTATATTATACTCCTTCAAGTCTATTTGAAACACAAACTTAATTTTTGTAGTTTTATAAGATTATAAGCTTAGGTGCTTATATTTTTAATTTTGATTCTTATAATTTGATTAAACATCAGAAGTTGAATTGAGATTTATATTATATTTTTTACATAACTAATTTATGAATGTGCAAAAATAAAAATATTATAAAAAGTTATATTAAATAAATAAAAATTATAATATTAATATTTTAAATTAAAAACGAATTATATTTATTGATATGACTAGTACACATGTGAATATTACTGTAATGTTTCATGCGACACGATTTTACAAAATTCTATTGTAAGAAAATCAAATTGATATTTAACAGTTAAATTTAGAATCAATTTATCACTAAATTGTGATAGAAGACGTAATCACCCAGATTTACAATTAAATCAGAATTAACTTACAAGGTCTGTGCTTTGTAGAAACTATTTTTTTTTTAAATGGGACAAAAATTAAACTTTTTGAGTACCAGGCTAAGTGAATTACATGAATAAAAAATTGTAGTAAAAGTAACTTTGATTATTTCTATTTAGCTAAAAACAGAGTTAGAGACAAAATTTCACGTTTGCCTAAGTTCAGTGTTCGTTTCCATGCATTAAAATAGTTGCATTAGCATAGCAATTTTGTTTTACCTCTCAAGGCTTTATATGTTGTGAAAATAACATTGCCAGTTCCAAACACACATGCACAAAAATACAAGCATAGAATCCATGCCTTGAAACCTAAGGCCGAGTTAGTATTTTTTGTTGCTCAACAAGGAAATTCTTTGTTTTCTTCAACAACTTGGCCATAATTTTGTCGTGTGTGTGAGTACAACCACAAAAAGTTGAGAATGGTGTTTTAGTACAATGAGCTTAGATTTTGCCAAAACATAGTTTTAGTTGTGATCTATGACATTATAGAGGGAAATTTACATAGGATACCCGATATTGGCAAGAAATGTTAACATGAAATGCTACTTCTCAATTTGTATGTCCCTTATAACCATGGATTCATCCTCAATCAAAGATCTGCTAGGTTCTTCCAGCTTATAAAGAAGTTGTTCTGTTCAACATAATTTTTCACCGGCATTGGTACCTCGCTATGTCATGTTCGTATTCACTTGACCACTTTTTTACCACCTAAAGTTCCGTTGCTGAGAGATTGAGCAAACATAATTCATGGCCACAACAGCAAAGAATGTGGTGGTGATACAGGATGCATCTAAAATACTTAATTGTAGAGTTTTTTATTGGATTATAAATAGCTTATCACTTGAGCCAGAAGATACGGTGACCCTAGTTGCCATCCTGCATGAGGTTTATACTCCTAGTACGTATTCTTTCACAGATTTGAAGTTCGTAAGAAATTACTTGTCATTTCAGAAGACCTAGTTGTTTATGCCCGCAAAAAAGAGTAGAAAAATTGGATTTAAAGTGGTGTTTGAGTAGAGCTCAGGATGAAGAACATTATGACCCTTTTGAGCAACGAATTCATTTTACTAATCAATCACTTCTTTTGTTTTCTTTTCCTCCAATTCCTTTTGTAGTGGGATACAGAATCACGTTGGATAACCGGTTGGTCGGGGTAAACCAGAGGATCATCGACAAAGAACTTGCAAAGAAGAAACAAGAGTACCTGAACAACGAGGAACTTGCTCAGATTGTTAAACAATATGAATCAAATAAGGTGATATATCAGTACTGTTAATAAACATTATTTTTTTCTATTTTTGGTTTTCTAATGAACTTCACCTGGCTATAAACTGATATTCAAGGATGCTTCATTGTTGCAAGTTGATAAGTACCAATAAGGAAATATCAAAATTGTGCCTAGACTGATGATGTTTTGTGTGGTAGGAGATGTTGAGCACAATTCAATTCAGCTTCTATATCTATTAGACTGTAGACAAACAAGTATCTAAATAAAACACTTTGTATATTATCACTTGATGTATTTGCAATGAGTGATGCATGGTCAATTTATAGGCCCTTTGGATATGGCCTCTCAACTACATGCATTTAATACAACTACTACCTTTCAACTACATACATTCAATACAACAACTACCTCTCAACTACTACCTCTATAACCACTACCTCTCAACTACATGCATTTAATGTTTACCTAACAAAATCCCCCCATAAACTTAAATGCTTTTCTTGTCCTTCATTCCAAGCATCTTCTTGTTGTTCTCGAACAGAGTGGTTGACAGTGGCTTCGTGAACATATCTGCAGCTTGTGTTCGGGTTCCGACGTGCTCTAACTCCACATTTCCTTCTTTCACTTGTTCTCGGATGAAGTGAAACCGAACATCAATATGTTTGCTTCTCTCATGATTGACCGGATTCTTTGCCAATTCAATGGCCGACTTGTTATCAACTCGAATCACAGTCCCTCTTTCTTGCTTCAACTCCAGCTTGCTTAGAAGGTTTCTAAGCCAAACTGCATGACAGACACTCCAGGATGCTGCAACGTACTCGGCTTCACAAGTTGACAACGTTACAATGGGCTGCTTTTTTGAAAGCCAGGTGAATGTTGTGTTTCCCATGAAGAATACATATCCAGACGTGCTTTTCCGGTCATCAACATCTCCACACCAGTCACTATCCGAGTAGCCTACTAGTCGATAATCATCCGTCCTAGTATACATTAGGCCAAGTGACACTGTTCCTCTCACATACCTTAGAATTCTCTTTAGTGCCTTCCAATGAGTATACCTTGGCTCCTCCATATATCGACTTGCTATTCCAACACTTAGCATTAAATCTGGTCTGGTATTTGTAAGATACCTAAGACTTCCAATCAGACTTCGGTATTTGCTCGCATCAACTCGGTCTCCATCTGCATACTTAGAAAGTTTTGTACCAGGTTCCATAGGGGTGGAAACCGGGTTGCAACTTGTCATCTTAAACTTCTTCAAGATCTCCTCAGCATACCTTTCCTGCGACACAAAGATGCCATCCTTTCCCTGAACAACTTCTAAGCCAAGAAAATACTTCATAAGACCCAAGTCAGTCATCTCAAACTCCTTCTTCATCACTTCTTTAAACTCTTCAATTAGCTCGGCATTATTCCCCATGAAGATAAGATCATCAACATATAGGGCAACAAACATCACATCTTCTCCTTTCTTCTTTATATATAGAGCATGTTCATAAGGACACTGCTCATATCCATTCCTTTTGAAGTAAGTATCAATTCTTTCATTCCATGCTCGTGGAGCTTGTTTCAAGCCATAAAGTGCCTTCTTCAATCTCAGCACTTTCTTCTCTTCGCCTCTTCGCATGTATCCGAGTGGCTGTTCAACATATACTTCCTCCTCCAAGATTCCATTCGTAAATGCCGACTTCACGTCCATCCGCAAGATTGTCCATCTCGTGTTGAGCCGCTAAGGAAATCAGCAGCCTAATTGTTTCCATTCTCGTCACTCGGGGCGAATACTTCGTCATAGTCTATTCCTTCCTTCTGCTTGTACCCCTTCACTACGAGTCGAGCTTTATATCGCTCAACTTCTCCTTCAGCATTTGTCTTCTTCTTGTACACCCACTTTACGCCGATAGGCCGCACTCCTTTGGGCAAATCAGTCAGCTCCCATGTGTTGTTGCGTTCTATTGCCCCGATCTCCTCGTCCATTGCAGTTTTCCATCTTTTCTCCTGCACGGCCTCTTCAAAATTTAAGTCTTCTGAATCTGCCAAGAGACATACAACATGCACTTCGTCAGTGGAGTTGTATATATCTTGTAAACTTCGCGCTCTGGGCTGTAGAGGTTCATCTTCTTCATCAGAAGTCTCATGATCTCTCACAGTATGTGGTGTATCAACTTCCGAGCCTCTACTTCCTATGGACTCCTTCTCTGGGTTGTTCCAACTCCACTTGCTTTCTTCATCAATTTGAACATCTCGGCTCATGATGACCTTCTTAGTTATTGGGTTAAACAACCTGTACGCCTTGGTTTTTTCATCATACCCAATAAACATGTACTTTTTGCTTTTATCTTCGAGCTTGGTCCTCTGTTGAGCTGGAACATGACCATAAGCTATGCTACCGAACACTTTAAGGTGAGACACACTCGGTTTTCTTCCACTCCAGACTTCTTGTGGTGTCTTCTTGTTCAGCTTAGCATGTGGACATCTATTTTGCACATAGATGGCACATTGCACTGCTTCTGCCCAGAACTCCTTTGGCACATTTTTGCTTCTCAACATTGTTCGAACCATGTCAAGAATGGTTCGATTCTTCCTCTCGGCAACTCCGTTTTGTTGGGGTGAGTATGGTGCTCGTCGAAATCTCCTTATCCCTTGCTCCTCGCAATACTTCATGAGTTCGGATGAAATGAATTCGCCTCCTCGATCGGACCTAACGATTTGATAGGCATGCCAGTCTCTTTCTCAACCATTGCTTTAAATCTCTTGAACACCTCAAACACCTCGGATTTCTCCTTCAAAAAATATACCCAGGTTTTTCTTGAAAAATCATCTATAAAAGAAATGAAATACCTTTTCCCACTGAAGGACTCAGGGGTAACCGGTCCACAAATATCTGTGTGAATCAATCCGAGTTGTTCCTTTGCACGGTACTCGGCCGTCCTCGGAAATGAGGTTCTCGGATGCTTCCCGAGCACACACTCTTCACAAAATTTCTTTTCAAATTCCATAGACGGGAGTCCTCGCACCATCTCTTTCTTTACCAACTTGGTCAGCCCGCCAAAATGCAAGTGGCCAAACCGAAAGTGCCACATCATTGCTTCATCCTTCACGTCTAGTTTCAAGCACCTCTCTTGGACTATCTTCAACTCCATCTTGTACATTCTCGTTCTTCTTCATTTCTACTCGGGCAATCAAACGATCCGACTTGTCCTTCGGGTATAGTACTCGGTCTTTCATCGAACCGAGTAGCCTTTCTCCATCAGCCGACTCCATGCTCAGTATGTTGCTTTTGAGATCGGGTACATAGTACACGTCTCCGATTTCTCCAACTCGGCTATTCTTCCGTAGGTACCGGATTGTACCTCGCCTTTACCGCCACCTTTGATGCATCTCCAAATGACACGTGTCCGGCCTCAACTTTAGTGAGCTCCTTAAAAAGGTTCTCGTCCCCGCACATGTGGTTACTTGCTCTCGTATCAAGATACCAAACCGAGTTGTCGAACAGCTCGGACTTAGCTCGACATCCGAACTTCTCGACATCATCAATACTCCTTCTTCCTCGGTGTCCTCGGAGAGGAGGTTTGTCTCCTTCTTCCTCTCGGATCGGCAGTCCTTTGCGAAATGCCCAACCTTCCCACAATTATAACATTTGATACCCGAATAGCGAGTCCTTAGCAAAATGACCGTACTTCCCACATTTGAAGCACTCAACTCCGGAATTGCTTGACCGACCACCTCGGCCTCTACCGTCACGACCTCTACCTTGTCTTCGGCCACGCCAGCTTTGTTGATCGACCGGCTCCTTGCCTCTTTCATATTCTCCTCTCGCCTCTACCACCTCGGCCTTGAGTGTTCCGAGCATAAGGAACCTTCTTCTCCTTTAAGATTGCCTTTGCTTGGAGTGCTTGATCAAGGGACTCCTCTTTCTTCTTCCTTCTCCGCCGCTCATGCGCTTCAAGCGACCCGACAAGCTCTTCCACCGAGAGCACCGACAAGTCCTTGGACTCTTCTATTGCACAAACGATATTCTCAAAATCGTCAGTTAACGACCTTAAGATTTTCTCCACCACTCGGCAAGTGGGCAGCGTCTCTCCATTTCTTCCGAGTTGATTCACCACGGTCTCAACACGGGAGATGTACTCGGCAACCCCTTCGACCTCTTTCATCCTCATGCTTTCAAGCTCGCCTCTAAGAGTTTGAAGCCTGACTTGCTTCACGCGATTATCCCCTTTATATGCCTTCTCCAGAATATCCCACGCTTCTTTTGAAGATTTAGCATTTGCTATCTTCTCAAAGTCGGACTCATCAACAGCTTCGGTACAGCACGTACAAAGCCGTTTTGTCCTTTACTCGTGTTCCTCTCAATGCAGCAAGCCGAGCAATCGTCTCGCTTCTTCAATATTCTCTCGGTTCTTGGTGCCCATTTTCGACCACATCCCATACTTCTTGGGAACCAAGGAGAGCCTTCATTTGCAGTGCTCCAGCTTATCATAGCTTACACCTTTTGATAACTTTGGTAGGGGCATGCTGTTAGCTAAGTTGGCCATCTCAAACAAACTCTCTAACTCTCAAACACTCTCTCTAACGCACTCAGACACTCAGGCTCTCAAGCTCTGATGCCAATTTGTAGACAAACAAGTATCTAAATAAAACACTTTGTATATTATCACTTGATGTATTTGCAATGAGTGATGCATGGTCAATTTATAGGCCCTTTGGATATGGCCTCTCAACTACATGCATTTAATACAACTACTACCTTTCAACTACATACATTCAATACAACAACTACCTCTCAACTACTACCTCTATAACCACTACCTCTCAACTACATGCATTTAATGTTTACCTAACATAGACAACTTCACTTAGTATTTGTTTGAAGTTCCTTGCATGCCTCATTTCATGTGGGGTTTAAATACCTATTAGGTTATTCTCCATATTCTACATATTGTTAATTAGTTTTATATTGAAACTTTAATATGGTATCATAGTCAAAACCTAACTTCTTTCTAAATGTTGTCTAGGGTCAAGTGGGCTCAAAAATACCCTTTACCTGGTTGGGTAGGTTTCGTTGGAGAGACATTGTTTGAATTCCCACGTCGCCTTCAATGTAAACAAGGGATTTGTTCTAATATAGACTCTTTTTTAGTCATACTCCCTTCAATGTTATCAAGGGATAATAATTAACTATTCATCCTCTTCAATTTCCCATTATAATGAATGAAAATCAATCACTGATTTAAACTGTTCATTGAGTTATTTAACTAAGATGGAGCTATGCATTTGTTTCATTCCTAGCAAGAGATAATTAACAGAAAAGGATATAAAATCCTGTCATGTTACAAGCTTTGTTTTGCAATTTATAAAATTGTGCGTAATATTTGCAGGTTGCATTTAAGATAAAGTTGTTTACAGGATCTTCACCAAAATTTGTGGCTTTAGAAGTGGCCATAGACCTAAATGCATCTTGGGTGATTCTTGACAGGTCAGGCAAACTTTAACTGAAAATCTGAATTCACTAGATTTTTAAAACAAGGGCATATAAGTGGAATTGCATGTATAAATCAGAGCCAGATAAAACAAATATGTAACTTCTAGTAAAAAAACATTTAAAACAGCTTTAGCTTCTTTTTACATTTTTTACTTCAAGATGGCATTTTATGCTGTATATTGACTCTTCCAACACACTAATAAAATGACTAAGCAAACCACCTATAAAGTAATTTTCACTAAACTAAAACTTTGGTTCCTTGTCTACATTTCTTTGTTTCAGTTTAGTCATTCAAGTTTAGTATTTTTTACTTCAGTCTCTACGTTAGAACAAATTGTCCTCAACTCAGATTTTGGTACTAAGTGTCAATTCTGGTTAATGTGATAAACTAATGGAAAGATCAATTTGGTCTAACAGATACATTTTAAGGGACCAAAGAAAAAGTTTTGAAACGAAAAATGTAGACAAGAAAAAAACTATTTTAGGAAATAATTTTTCTCAACCTCCTCCTTCATCTGAAGACTATCACCACATATTATCTGTTAAAGTATATACAAATAAGGAAACTCTTATTTTGGCCTAAATTATTCAGCTTCCTTGTACAACTACAAGTATAGTGTTTCAAGCATGCAGCAAAAATTCAAACAAATTTGATAATTTAATTGATTGCATAGTTTTAGTTAGAATCTATTTCAGCAGAAAAGCAGGAGAATAGCAGTTTAAGCTGTAGGTCAAGTATAGCAGTCGAAATCTTAGTCTAGTCCTAGATAATGATTTAAGCTATAAGCTAAAATTCTCAAGCATGTCAGAAGAAACCAATTTAACTCATCAGATAATTCAGCTAGTGTACATAACTATAGTTTTGAGTAGAAGTTTCAAGTAGACCGCATATAAATAAAAGAAAAGTAAAATCGAATAACTATGAACGCAATAGAAGTGATAAATAGAGAAAAGATGAATTAGTTTATTGCTGTATAAGTAAAATTTGGATGCTCGTATTAGTGATTAGTTACACTGGATCCATTCTTCTGGTTCAGCATTCTTAAATCAGGATCAGGAGCTTGAAATAAATGTAAAATGTATATAACTTGAAATGAACATTTTCAAGATGCAAAAGTAAATTTATATGCTATGTAGTTGTGCAAATATCAAATAAAAACATCACTGATTGCATCAACAATCTAACACAACCTCATATTGGTTGAAAAAATCTACTTGGTTCACAGGAAAATGAAGAAAGACGAGGAGTTTTTCCTGCAGAGGCTTTCTTGTGGTATATCTATATTAAGGAGTAACGATCGGATTGCTCGACTAAGAGGGCCTTTAGATCTTCCAGATGAAATACCATGTAACAGCCATGAAACATATGATGAAAGTTTACCAAGTGTTCCATATAAACATCTTTTCGACATTGATGCTTTCCCCAAGAGTGAGTTCTGGAATATTGTTTGATTTTAGCCCACATAGTAATTACAACAACTTCTAACCTTTTTCTACGTTCAATTTTTATTGATTTTAATGTTCAATTAAGATCTTCTGGCCTTGTTTCATTGCATGTTCAGTCTAATATTCTTGAACGCCTTATTACAACTAAGACCAATCTAATGATAGGAAAACTTGAAGATTGTGAACAGAACCATATACAAGATAGGCTCTACGAGGAAGAGGGTTGCTCGAATGTTCCGACCAATACTAGTGAAAAAATATATCAGACAAGTCGTAATCACCATAGCATGGATGGAACAGAAAGAAATAGTAATCAAATGATAGATAAAATAGAAAGAGACGGGCAAGGCCAAGATCAAGAACTGATGCAAATCATGCCCCATGAGATGGAGGAGGACACAACAATTATGATTAAACCTGATCAAGCAGCTGCTGGGAAAATAGCTGATCAACTGAGCCAAGATGAAGAAAAGACAAACAACTTCTTCCATGCACAGACTTTGAGCATTTCCAGTGGTGCTATATTGGATGATGGAGAGCAAGAGAAAAGTAATTTGGATTCAGTAAGCAATTTCTGCTCTGTCTGCGAAACAAGACGACCTAGTATTGGGTGGAAAAAGGAATTTACTTACGAAGAACTCCAAGCAGCCACAGATGCCTTTTCATTGAAGAACTGTCTCTCTGAAAGTGGATCCCTTTTCACTTTCAGAGGCCAGATGAAGGGAGGGATGAAACTAGTGGTTAAGCAGCATGATGTAACAAACACTCAAGTAAGGGAGAAAGTGAAGTCAGAAATCCAAACCATCCTCAAAGCTAGGCATAAGAATGTGATCATGCTATTGGGTTCATCTGCAGCAGAATCTTTCCTGCTTACTGTATATGAGTATGCCTGCAATGGTTCACTGGACAAATATCTATCAAGTAAGACATATGGTATATGCACAATTTGATATATGATTAAAGGATACTGGAATTTGATATATATATGAACTACGGCACATGAAAAATTTCATACTAAAGGAACTTCGTTAAATTATGCAGAAGAAAGCTCCCGAACATTGACCTGGAAAGAAAGGAAAAGAGTGGCAATAGGCCTTGCCAGAGGCCTCAAGTACCTACATGAAAATAACATTGTTCATTCCAATATAAAACCAAGCAATATTCTTCTAACACATGACTTCGAACCACTGGTACATATCTGAACCTTGGTAACCTTGTGATAATGCATTTCTCCTGTCTGTCTAATTTGAAATATATGTTCACTTAGTGCCAATTAGTTTTAAGAAGTAATCTAACAAAATAAATATGCTTTTTATTGGCTAATGGAGCTAACTTTTACTTTAAATGATACACATCATAGATTGGAGACTACAAGTTTGGAAAAGAACTTCCAGTGAAGTCCTACAAAAATAAAAGCAAAGGGAATTATGAATACGTAGCACCAGAATATCAGGAGAAGGGAAAATTATCATCAAAGGCAGATGTATACTCATTGGGTGTGGTTATTTTAGAGTTGATTACTGGACGAAGGACTGCAGATTTTATGTTAGAAGATAAAAGCCTTGTTGAATGGGTAAGACACAAGATAACTTTCATATACAGCAACCAAATTATCAAAATACCTATCAATAGGGAGTTTTTCTTTACAAGTTCATCCAAGAGGTTGAGAATATCAGAATAAAAGGTTTATATCATCTCTATTTCTCCTTCTTTACGTTAATATCAATATTTTTAGGAATATGCTTGATGAACACCCAGCCTGTTAGGTAAACATTAAATACATGTAGTTGAGAGGTAGTGGTTATAGAGGTAGTAGTTGAGAGGTAGTAGTGTATTGAATGTATGTAGTTGAGAGATAGTGGTTATATTGAATGTATGTAGTTGAAAGATAGTAGTTGTATTAAATGCATGTAGTTGAGAGGCCATATCCAAAGGCCTATAAATTGACCATGTACCACTCATTGCAAAATACATCAAGTGTTAATATATAGAGTGTTTTATTTAGATACTTGTTTGTCAACAAATTGGCATCAGAGCTTGAGAGCCTGAGTGTTTGAGTGTGTTTGAGAGTTAGAGAGTTTGTTCGAGATGGCCAACTTAGCTAAGAGCATGCCCCTGCCAAAGTTATCGAAAGGCGTAAGCTATGATAACTGGAGCCTGCAAATGAAGGCTCTCCTTGATTCCCAGGAAGTATGGGATGTGGTCGAAAATGGGCACCAAGAACCAGAGAATATTGAAGAGCAGACGATTGTCCAGCTTGCTGCATTGAGAGCAACACGAGTAAAGGACAAAACGGCTTTGTACGTGTTGTACCGAGCTGTTGATGAGTCTGGCTTTGAGAAGATAGCAAATGCTAAATCTTCAAAAGAAGCGTGGGATATTCTGGAGAAGGCATATAAAGGGGATAATCGCGTGAAACAAGTCAGGCTTCAAACTCTTAGAGACGAGCTTGAAAGCATGAGGATGAAAGAGATCGAAGGGTTGCCGAGTACATCTCCCGTGTTGAGACCGTGGTGAATCAACTCGGAAGAAATGGAGAGACGCTGCCCACTTGTCGAGTAGTAGATAAAATCTTAAGGTCGTTAACTGACGACTTTGAGAATATCGTTTGTGCAATAGAAGAGTCCAAGGACTTGTCGGTGCTCTCGGTGGAAGAGCTTGCCGGGTCGCTTGAAGCGCATGAGCAGCGGAGAAGGAAGAAGAAAGAGGAGTCCCTTGATCAAGCACTCCAAGCAAAGGCAACCTTAAAGGAGAAGAAGGTTCCTTATGCTCAGAACACTCAAGGCCGAGGTGGTAGAGGCAGAGGAGGATATGAAAGAGGTAAGGAGCAAGTCAGTCAACAAAACTGCCGTGGCCAAGGACAAGGTAGAGGTCGTGGCGGTAGAGGCTGAGGTGGTCAGTCAAACAATTTCGGAGTTGAGTGCTTCAAATGTGGGAAGTACGGTCATTTTGCTAAGGACTGTTATTCAGGTATCAAATGTTATAATTATGGGAAGGTTGGACATTTCGCGAAGGACTGCCGATCTGAGAGGAAGAAGGAGACAAACCTCCTCTCTGAGGACACTGAGGAAGAAAGAGTATTGATGATGTCGAGAAGTTCGGATGTCGAGCTAAGTCCGAGCTGTTCTGACAACTCGGTTTGGTATCTTGATACAGGAGCAAGTAACCACATGTGCGGGGACAAAAACCTTTTTAAGGAGCTCACTAAAGTTGAGATCGGACACGTGTCATTTGGAGATGCATCAAAGGTTGCAGTAAAAGGCAGAGGTACAATCTGGTACCTGCAGAAGAATAGCCGAGTTGGAGAAATCAGAGACGTGTATTATGTACCTGATCTCAAAAGCAACATACTGAGCATGGGCCAGCTGATGGAGAAAGGCTACTCGGTTCTGATGAAAGACCGAGTACTATACCTGAAGGACAAGTCGGATCGTTTGATTGCCCGAGTAGAAATGAAGAAAAACATAATGTACAAGCTGGACTTGGAGATAGTCCAAGAGAGGTGCTTGAAACTTGACATGAAGGATGAAGCAATGATGTGACACTTTCGATTTGGCCACTTGCATTTTGGTGGGCTGACCAAGTTGGTAAAGAAAGAGATGGTGCGAGGACTCCCGTCTATGAAATTTGAAAAGAAATTCTGTGAAGAGTGTGTGCTCAGGAAGCATCCGAGGACCTCATTTCCGAGGACGGCCGAGTATCGTGCAAAGGAACAACTCGGATTGATTCACCAAATCTTTGTGGACCGGTTACCCGTGAGTCCTTCAGTGGGAAAAGGTATTTCATTTCTTTTATAGATGATTTTTCAAGAAAAACCTGGATATATTTTTTGAAGGAGAAATCTGAGGTGTTTGAGGTGTTCAAGAGATTTAAAGCAATGGTTGAGAAAGAAATTGGCATACCTATCAAATCTGTTAGGTCTGATCGAGGAGGCGAGTTCATTTCATCCGAACTCATGAAGTATTGCGAGGAGCAAGGGATAAGGAGATTTCTGACAACACCATACTCACCCCAACAAAACGAAGTTGCCGAGAGGAAAAATCGAACCATTCTTGACATGGTTCAAACAATGTTGAGAAGCAAAAACGTGCCAAAGGAGTTCTGGGCAAAAGCAGTGCAATGTGCCATCTATGTGCAAAATAGATGTCCGCATGCAAAGCTAAACGAGAAGACACCACAAGAAGTCTGGAGTGGAAGAAAATCTAGTGTGTCTCACCTTAAAGTGTTCGGTAGCATAGCTTATGGTCATGTTCCAGCTCAACAGAGGACCAAACTCGAAGATAGAAGCAAAAAATACGTGTTTATTGGGTATGATGAAAAACTAAGGCGTACAAGTTGTTTAACCCAATAACTAAGAAGGTCATCATGAGCCGAGATGTTCAAATTGATGAAGAAAGCGAGTGGAGTTGGAACAACCCGGAGAAGGAGTCCATAGGAAGTAGAAACTCAGAAGTTGATACACCACATACTGTGAGAGATCATGAGACTTCTGACGAAGAAGATGAACCTCTACAGCCCAGAGCGCGAAGTTTACAAGATATATACAACTCCACTAACGAAGTGCATGTTGTATGTCTCTTGGCAGATTCAGAAGACTTAAGTTTTGAAGAGGCCGTGCAGGAGAAAAGGTGGAAAAAGGCAATGGATGAAGAGATCGGGGCAATAGAACGCAACAACACATGGGAGCTGGCTGATTTGCCCAAAGGAGCACGGCCTATCGGCGTAAAGTGGGTGTACAAGAAGAAAACAAATGCTGAAGGAGAAGTTGAGCGATATAAAACTCGACTCGTAGTGAAGGGGTACAAGCAGAAGGAAGGAATAGACTATGACGAAGTATTCGCCCCAGTGACGAGAATGGAAACAATTAGACTGCTGATTTCCTTAGCAGCTCAACACAGATGGACAATCTTGCAGATAGACGTGAAGTCGGCATTTCTGAATGGAATCTTGGAGGAGGAAGTATATGTTGAACAGCCACGCGGATACATGCGAAGAGGCGAAGAGAAGAAAGTGCTGAGATTGAGGAAGGCACTTTATGGCTTGAAACAAGCTCCACGAGTATGAAATGAAAGAATTGACACTTACTTCAAAAGGAATGGATATGAGCAGTGTCCTTATGAACATGCTCTATACATAAAGAAGAAAGGAGAAGATGTGATGTTTGTTGCCCTATATGTTGATGACCTTTATCTTCATGGGGAATAATGCCGAGCTGATTGAAGAGTTTAAAGAAGTGATGAAGAAGGAGTTTGAGATGACTGACTTGGGTCTTATGAAGTATTTTCTTGGCTTAGAAGTTGTTCAGGGAAAGGATGACATCTTTGTGTCGCAGGAATGAGGAGGTCTTGAAGAAGTTTAAGATGACAAGTTGCAACCCGGTTTCCACCCCTATGGAACCTGGTACAAAACTTTCTAAGTATGCAGATGGAGACCGAGTTGATGCGAGCAAATACCGAAGTCTGATTGAAAGTCTTAGGTATCTTACAAATACCAGACCAGATTTAATGCTAAGTGTTGGAATAGCAAGTCGATATATGGAGGAGCCAAGGTATACTCATTGGAAGACACTAAAGAGAATTCTAAGGTATGTGAGAGGAACAATGTCACTTGGCCTAATGTATACTAGGACAGATGATTATCAACTAGTAGGCTACTCTGATAGTGACTGGTGTGGAGATGTTGATGACCGGAAAAGCATGTCTGGATATGTATTCTTCATGGGAAACACAGCATTCACCTGACTTTCAAAAAAGCAGTCCATTGTAACGTTGTCAACTTGTGAAGTAGAGTATGTTGCAGCATCCAGGAGTGTCTGTCATGCAGTTTGGCTTAGAAACCTTCTAAGCAAGATGGAGTTGAAGCAAGAAAAAGGGACTGTGATTCGAGTTGATAACAAGTCGGCCATTGAATTGGCAAAGAACCCAGTAAATCATGAGAGAAACAAACATATTGATGTTCGGTTTCACTTCATCCGAGAACAAGTGAAAGAAGGAAATGTGAAGTTAGAGCACGTCGGAACCCGAACACAAGCTGCAGATATGTTCACGAAGCCACTGCCAACCACTTTGTTCGAGAACAACAAGAAGATGCTTGGAATGAAGGACAAGAAAAACATTTAAGTTTATGGGGGGATTTTGTTAGGTAAACATTAAATGCATGTAGTTGAGAGGTAGTGGTTATAGAGGTAGTAGTTAAGAGGTAGTAGTTGTATTGAATGTATGTAGTTGAGAGATAGTGGTTATATTGAATGTATGTAGTTGAAAGGTAGTAGTTGTATTAAATGCATGTAGTTGAGAGGCCATATCCAAAGGCCTATAAATTGACCATGTACCACTCATTGCAAAATACATCAAATGATAATATATAGAGTTTTTTATTTAGATACTTGTTTGTCAACACAACCAACCTTTAAAAATAAATAAGAGGTGTGTAGGAGATGTATGTTTAAAGGGGTGTATAAGAGGAGTGTAATAAGTGTATGTTTAAAGGAGTGTATGTTAATCATCATCACCCATATTTTTATTTTTCTTCTTCTCCACTAGGACTTTCAGAAAAAAAAAAAAAAAGCTTATTCCATATATTTTTTTTATGCAAACATTATTTATGTTACTTAAAAAAGCACTTTCCAAACATATCCTTCCATTTCAAGTGGGATTACAATATTCTTAACTATAATGTTAATTGTCCCTCGTAAGTTATAAATGAAATTGATTATTTAAATGATTTGGAAATTTTGATGCTTACTTTCAGAGTGACCTTGTTGCTTATGGCATCTTACATGGTTGATATTTTCCCTTTTCTTTCAGGCAAAGCCTCATCTTAAAAAGAAGAATTACTCAGAGTTGGTGGATCCCATACTCAGAAACTCATACGAAGAGGATCACCTTCGTTGGCTGGTCCAAGTAACAGCACAATGTCTAAAAAAGAATCCTAAGGAAAGATTATCAATGAATATGGTAAGTTCCAACCATTTACTGTGTCAATTACACTATTCAAACTACAAACCTAAGCACTGAATATTTACAATCCAGTATATATAACTCCGTCAAGAGCACCACTTAATAGAGTATAAACACATACCACCAATGGTCTTGATGGCAAGGAGTTTCGTTTCCCTTTATCTAACAAAGTATTGGGAATGAATATAATTAATATGAAGCTCCTGGTTCAATTTGAATGATTCTAAGCTGATTGTGGCTTACCATACCAAATTGTAGGGTATTGGACAACAGAAAAAATCTATACTACAACTCCATATCACTCAATAAGCAATGATCTAATACCATGCCAAATCATTTTTCTCCCTTTAAAGTGAAAAACCATCCTAAAATACCTATGAATAAGAATAAATATTATGAATAAACTTAAATGCCAATTTAAGTGTAATAATTTAGCAGTTTTAAATAAATTTCAAGAGTTAGTGATTATGTTTTTATTGTAAATCATAAACAGAATTTAAGATTAACTAAAACGTCAAATTTTGGTTTATAAATTTACAACTCTATTCGTGTGGAAAAGTGAGTTAAAAAAAAATAAAATAAAAATACCGGAATAGAAGAGACATTTTCTTCTCAAACTGGCATCAAATCTAAAAAGAGTGTTTGAGTGTTTTAAATGTGATAGAATGATGGTAAGCAAATTATGACAATTGAAGTATTCATATGAAAGTTTTCATTGAATCCCAAGATAATTGGGAAGCGGTCCAAAGGGTTTTGAAGAACCAGAAAACATTGTGTGATACTTGGCGGCTCAAAATAAGGAGTTGAAAGATACATGATCAAGGACAAAATAACTTTGTACATATTGTACCAAGCTGTGGATGAGTCATGCTTCAACCTCAAAGGAAGTGTGTTCGAAAAAGGTATATAAAGGAATAAGCCGAGTTAAACAAGTTTGACTTCAAACATTAAGCAGCAAGCTAGAGAGTCTGAACATGAAGAAATCAAAAGAAGTTTCTAAGTACATAATGCGTGTTGAAATCGTGGTGAACCAGCTCAAGCGAAATGGAGAAAAATTACCTGATGACTGAGTTGTGGAGAAGATTTTGAGTTTATTGACTGATGACTTTGAACATGTTGTATTTGTAATAGAAAAGTCAAAGGACCTTGCAATACTCGTAATGAACAAGCTAGTTGGTTCTCTTAAGGTGCACAAGAAACAAAAGAAGAAGAGGAAGGAGGAGTCACTTGAACAAGCACTACTTCAACTGTTGGAGTCTATTGAAGATGAGAAGTCACTCTACTCTCAAAATATTTGAGGTAGAGTAAGAGGTTGTGAAGGACGAGGAAATGGTCACGGAGGTAGAGGACGTGGTCAAGAAGGATACAATAAGGAGAAAGAACAGTCAAGCCAACAAAATTTGCTTCGAAAAATTGGCTTGGAAGAGGACGAGATTTCGTCGTAGAGTTATTTCAATGTTGAGTGTTACAAATGTGGCAAATATGACAATTATGCAAAGGATTATAACTCAAATAAGTGTTTACAATTTTGGTAAAATCAGACATTTTGCTAAGAATGTTAAGCAGAGAAGAAGATGAAGGAGACAACCAACATTATCGATGACAACTTGAGTGCTTACAAAGACGAAAGTAGGAGGATGTGAGGTAGTAAATAAATTTTTTAATTTATATATATATAGTTATAAGAAAATTTAAAAGTAAATAAAACTATCTTTTAAATATAAAAACTGATTATTATATTTTTCTTTCTTATAAACAAAAATAATAATTATAATAAATATTATTTTTGTTTGCTCACAAATTTTTTATTTATATCTTTTTCTCTTTCATCCTTTTATTTTTATATTATTTTTTCATCTTCCACCTTTCTGCTTTCTTTACTTCAACTTCAAAGGTTCATCTTTTAACTTTCATATTTCTATCTTTTCTTTATTATTATTTCACTTCCATATTTTTCTCTTTCACAGCTTTCACCTTAAAACATAGAAATTATAAGTTTTTCTCTTTAATTTTCACATTTTATTATTTGCTATCAATTAGTTTTTTGTTTTAATGTTTTATGATGCTTAATTTTTATGTTAGTAGAGAAAAAAAAATTAGGTCTGGGTTATATAGATGTCTAAGAAACAAATTATATACTCATTTTTCAAAAGAAAAAAAAGATGATATATGATAAAATAATTTTTAGCTTACTAAATTTAATTGCAGTGAGTAATATTGAAAATATTGTTGAAAAACTTACAATATTAACAAATTTTATAATATGAAATATAGTCAAACACAATTAAAACGTATTTAATCTCATATATATTTATTTTATATTGATGTTAAATATATGTTGATGATTTATAATTTTTAATAATTTTATATAATATATGTATTTTTATACCATAATTAATATATATATATATATATATATATATATATATATATATATATATATATATATATATATATATAGTTTAGCCCCCCCTCATAAAAGATATATGGCTTTGCCCTTGGGTGCCAATCACAATTCAGTGTAATGTCCTAATAGGGTATATAATTATATGAGCGGAGAAGAACATCTATTTTAAGAATTATCAAAAGATGAAGCTGGAGTGTCATTTGGAGATGCTTCAAAAGTTGAAGCCAAAGGGCAAGGTATAGTTTGCTATATATAAAAGGATGGTCGAGTTAGATCAATCCACAAAGTGTATTTTGTACTAGATCTCAAAAGTAATATTCTGAGCATAGGATAACTTAAGGAGAGAGGTTACGCGGTACTTATGAAAGATCGTGTATTACACTTGAAAGATAAACTTGGACGTTTAGTGGCTTGAGTTGAAGTGGGTAGAAATGGGATGTTTAAATTGAATTTGAAAAGTATTTGGGAAAAATGTCTTAAATTTGATGTAGAAAATGAGGTGATGATCTGACATTCGATTTGGTCACATACACTATGGTGGTCTAAATGATTTGGCTAAGAAGAATATGGTGTTCAGACTACTGAACATGTACTACTTCGAACAATTTTGTGGAGGATGTGCTCGACAAACATGCAAGAACTTCATTTCAAAAAAAGGCTGAATATTGAGCAAAGGAGCAGCTCAAGTTGATTCATACCAACATATTCAAAATGATTAAGCATAAATCTTTTAGTAGTAAAAGGTATTTTGTTTTGTTTGTCGATAATTTTTCACAAAAAAAACTTGGGTGTAGTTTCTAAAAGAAAAATTTGAGGTGTTTAAAAAGTTCAAAGTAATGGTGGAGAAGGAAATTGATAAGCATATCAAGTTGGTATGATCCGATTTAGGTGATGAGTATACATCAATAGTTTTTATGAAGTATTGTGAGGAGGAAGACATAAGGTAATTTCTAACAATATTGCTCAAGAGAAAGAATATGCCAAAGGAAATTTGGGCAAAAGCCATGCAATGTGCTGTCTATGTTCAAAATTGGCGTCCACATGCAAAATTGAATGATCAGTATAGCCTATGCACATGTGCCAAAGTAGCAAAGAACGAAGCTCGGAGATAAAAACAAGAAGTATGTTTTTATTAGATATGATGAGAAAACTAAATGCTACAAGTTACTAGACCCGAGAAGGTTATTGTAAGTTGTGAAGTTCGAGTTGATGAATCAAGTTAGTAGAATTGGAGTAACTCGAAGGAGAATAATGGAAGTGAAGAATCATTTATCATTGTACCAACAATCACAACAAATTTTGGGACCATTGATGACGAAGGTGAATCCCAATAGCCTAGAATCTAGAGCTTGCAAGATTTATGTAACTCGACAAATGAGGTACACATCGTATGTCTTTTGGCAAATTTCTAGAATATAAGTTTTGATGAAGCAATATAGGACGAGAAGTGGCAAGTTTCCCTTGATGAGGAGATTGATTCAATAGCACAACATGTGGGAGTTGTCATATTTGTCGAGTGGTGCTTAGCCAATTGGTGTGACATAGGTGTTTAAGAAAAAGATGAATGCCTAAGGGGAGGTAGAAAGTTGTAAGGCTCGGCTTGTTGCAAAATAATATAAGCAAGAAGTGAATGTTGTAATATGACAAGGTGTTAGCACCGATCATAAGAATGAAAATTATTCGGTTACTTATTTTACAAGAAACTCAATTCAAATGGTCGATATTACAAATGGATGTGAAATCAACATTTTTTAATGGAGTACTCAAGGAAGAAGTGAATGTTGAACAACCACTCAAGTACATGAGAAGAGGAGAAGAGAAGAAGGTGCTAAGATTGAAGAAGACCCTTTATGGGTTGAAGCATGCACCCTAGACATGGAATGCTCAGATTGATGCATATTTTTGAATGGAGTACTCGAGGAGGAGTTGTATGTTGAACAACCACCAGGGTACATGAGAAGAGGACAAAAAATTGTAGAAGATCCTTTATGGATTGAAGCAAGCACCCTAGGCATGAAATACGCAAATTGATGCATATTTTAAGGAGAACAAGTTTGAACAGTATCATATGAACATGCTCTTTATGTGAAGAGTTAAATCAATGTATTGTTTGTTGCTCTTTCTGTTGATAATCTATTTTATGGGGAACAACGATGAAATGATACTTGAGTTCAAGAGGTCAATGACTAGAGAGTTTGAGATGACAAACTTGGGTTTAATGAAATACTTCCTCAATTTGGAAGTTAGACAAATTGAGATGGGGATCTTTGTGTTCCAAGAAAGATGTTCAAAGGATATTTTGGAGAAGTACATGATGACAAGTTGTAATCCTGTTTCAATACCAATGGAACCAAGTACAAAACTATCAAAATTTGATGGAGGAGACCAAATTGATGCTAGCCAATATTGGAGCTTAGTAGGAAGCTTTCACTATTTGACAAGTACAAGACTAGATCTCATGTTGAGTGTTGGTATTGTAAGTTGGTTCATGGAGGAGCCGAGCTATATTCATTAAAAGACATTGAAACGAATTTTGAGGTATGTACAAGAAACAATGTCATTCGACCTGTTCTATTCAAGGTAAGAAAATTTACTATGATAGGAAAAGTATACTGAGATATGTATTTTTTATGGATAACACGACTTTTACACAACTTTTAAAGAAGCAATTAATTGTAGCTCTCTCGACATGTGAAACCGAATATGTGGCAGCATCCTGTTGTGTATGTCATGTAGTATGACCTAGAAATCTGTTAAGCACATTGGAGTAGCAACAATTTGGCGCTACTATGATTCGAGTTGACAATAAGTCGGTCATAGAGTTAGCAAAGAACCCGGTTAATCATAAAAGGAACAAGCACATTGATGTTTATTTTAACTTCATCTGAGAACATGTGAAGGAAGGAAATGTGAAGTTTGTACATGTGAAAAGCTAGCGAGATCAAGTTGTAGATATTTTTACGAAGCCACTACAAATAGTATTGTTAGATAATTACAAAAATTGACTGACATGAGGGATGAGAGAAACATAAACTTAAGGATGAGAGAAACATTTAAGTTTATGGAGGGATTTGTTGAATAAACTTCAATTTTAATTTAAGTGTTTTGATTTAGCATTTTTAATTTTAAAAGTGAAAGGTAAAAAGTCAATGGTTATATTGTTGAAAAGTCAGTATAAAAAAAATACAAAAATAGAAGAAACGTTTTCATCTCAGCAAGTTTAAAGATAAATTATACATTAAGAATTAATCGAAGGATGACATGCAAAATAACACAAAGCACTAACCTTTAGTTGATAACGAGGTCATTTTCGGTCTAGAACATGTTGTTTCATGCTAGAATGGATGAGGTTCTCTTATTCATGACTTATTAGAGAATAACAACAAGAAAGGTATTCAGATGCGGAGTTATTGCAAGTAGACTAAAACCTTCAATTATCTATTTTATTATTGCCTCCCGTATACCCTTTCAACTTACATCTCATTCACTTGGGCGATTTCAGGTTGTTTCTTCATTACAAGGCATAGCAGACAATGAACTCTGCCACATAACAGAAGATATTACTCCAGCTATATCAGATTCAAGAATTGGGCCACAAATAAATGGTTCAAAAGGTAACAGATGAAATCTAGAACAAGAAAACTCAAGTATGATACAATAGGAAAACTACAAATTGCAGAGGATTTTGTGGGGGTTTATAGGAAAATTCAAGAAATTGAAAGTTTAAAATAGGTTATTTCATGAAAGCTAGAAGAACAAAACAGACTCCAAATAAAGAGGCGTGGGAGAGGATAGCCAATGCATATTAGTATAATCTCTTTGGGTAAAAGAAAGATCATGTACTCATGTACAACCAAGGATTAAGTTGCTGCAGTTTGATCCCCCTAGTTATGCCAACCTTCATTGGAATTGGTACAAGTATTTTATTATTACTTAATAATGCAGAGTTTATTAAAAATATTCATTTGTTTTCAAGGAATGTGTAGCAAAAATCTTGTGTTAACATATTTTTGACCAAGTATGTCATAAGTATGTTAACAAATGTTTAGCTTGTATATTCTATATTCAAACTGAACCCTTATGCAGACACGATTTACTTTGTGGGTTATGATCTTCTTTGTTCTTTATTTCATTTTTTGGGGTGACAGTAGGGTTTAACAATAAACGAATGTAGGTCCAACAATAAAAGAAGCTGGTCAGCCAAATCAGGAAGACGAGCAAATGGAGAGCATATTCAGTGGGGAGAAGTTAAGGCTAACAGTTGAGAATAATCTCTTTAACATAACAGACCAGCGAAACTCTGATAAACTGAGACATAATGAAGAACAGATGCAAAGCAGGTCCCGAGGAGAGGAGAGTAGCTCAGGAAAGATGATCACCAATGACCACACAATGGATGAGACAGAAGTTGATCAGCCGAGTGAGTTTGAAGAACAGATTCGAAGCACTCTACATATGGAGGGCATCACAAGGCCGAAAATTAGTGTTGATGGCATTATAGGTCACACAAAAGTTGACCAACTGAGCCATGATCAAGACGAAGGACAAAACATTGCTGAAATGGAGATAGGCTTAATACCAGCAACTATCAGTGCAATGATAGATCAAGTAGAAGTAGATCAACCGGTCCAGGATAAAACACAAACCCAGAGAAGCTGCCATGATAGTTTACAGGATGGATGCCAAGGTGAAATAATTTTAGAGAATTCGAAGTCCTCTGCATGCTCTATTTGCAAAAGTAGACGACCAAACAATGCATGGTCAGAAGACTTTACTTATGATGAACTGCTAAAAGCTACAGAAGCATTTTCCATTGATAACTCTCTATCTGAAAATGAAGATGGACCTACTTTCCAAGGCCTGCTAGAGAGACAGATAAAAATAGTTGTTAAAAAATATCAAATTAATTCCTCCCAAGAAGAGAAGATAATAAAGTCAGAAGCAAAGTTGTTCATCAGTGCTAGACATAAAAATGTGGTCATGCTGTTGGGTTTATGCACAAATAAAAGCCAACTGATGGTTGTGTTTGAGAAAGTATGCAACGGTTCACTTGACAAATACCTAACAAGTAAGGACCAATATGTGAGCTTTTACTTATCTTCAAATGAAGTTTAAGCATTTTATGCTTGGAATAGAACAATAGAATTGAGTTTGCTTTATATTTTTTGGTGAATAGAGCATTGACTTTGCTATTGACATAAAGATATAAGGAAAAATTTTAAACATTATGCAGGGGGAAGTTTCCTGTCATTGAATTGGAAGCAAAGGCTGAAAGTAGCAATGGGTACTGCCAGAGGTTTAAAATACCTACATGGGAAAGATATAATCCATGGAAATCTAAAACCAAATAATATTCTTCTAACACATGAGTTTGAACCACTGGTATTTTCTAGAACCTTGGTGTATGTGAAGTTTTTCTTTGTCTGGCTAAAGTTATAGTGCAGTATTATTATGTTTCTTCAAACAAATTTATATTTTTATGTGTAAATATTTAGATAGGAGATTTCTTCTTCGGACAAGAGAAAGTTGGACCAAAGAAATCCAGCAAAGATATAAGTATAAGAAATTCTGGATATGCAGCACCTGAATATCTGGAGAATGGAAAACTATCAAATAAGACAGATGTGTACTCCTTTGGATTGGTTCTATTAGAGCTGATCAGTGGCAGGAGGGCTACTGACAAATCACCAAGTGGAAAAAGCCTTGTTAGCTGGGTAAGAAAATCATGTTAATAACTTGAACATCAATAAGAAAATTATGGTCTATTTAACCAAAAATTTTCACAAAGACTTCTTGAAGATGAAAAAAAGGAAGAAAAAGAAAAATGAAATGAACTTCTTCATAACTTTAATCTAATTTAATTTAAAAAATAAAGATTTGGAAAAAATATACAACAGAGCTTTTCATTATATATAGGAAAAGTTCATTTCATTTTCTTTTCTTTTCTTTCTTTCTCAAAAGTCCTTATGGAAAAATTTGTCTCAACATGTCCTCAATGTAGGATGAGCCTTAGAGCAATTATATAGTTGTTAGAATTTAAATATGAGTTCAAGTCACAAGTAAAAATGAAAAAAAAATTGAATAATATAGGTGAGAAAAATCAACAAACGCACCGTTATTAGAACGGAATTAATATCATATTTTCTTATATCGTCCTAGCAATGAATGGATGATAGATGTCATGTTTGGTAAGGTTGCATATATCTATCCTCCCCAGACCCCTAAAGTTTCTTTTTCCAAATGAAGAAGTCAGGGAAAACCTGAGAAATTTCGTTCTCATCTTCCTTATTTTAAGAAGAAATGTTATCGGGGCATTATATTTTCTTGTCATATACTTATTCAGTGACCACTCTGACATGTAGTCAGGCATGCTTATCTTTCCACAGCAAGAAATAAAAATCTTAGCCCGTAATTTCTACCATAATTTTCCAACGTTTCTAGTCATCAAAACAAGATATAGATATATGATTTGATAATGTAACATCAAACTCTACAATGGCATGCAAATATATTGTTGAGGTGGCTAATGCTTTTCCTTTGTCATATTTCTTTGTGTGAATACAGTGCAGAGGTCACTTTATTCGCAAACTTTGTTTCACATCATGTTCGTGTTCGTCAATGTTTCCTATATATAGGCTATTCATTATCACAACCCAAAAAACTTCAGGGACTAAATATTGTTGGAGCAAAAATTGCCTAACAAATCATTATTTGGTTTGGGATTTTACCAGTGTCACATTATAATTTGGTTGCTTATATGCATCACACAAAATTCTTTCTTTGTATTTCTTTTCCCTTCCAGGCAAGGCCTCTCCTAAAAGGAAAGAAGTACCCACAGTTGTTGGATGTGAAAATCAATAACTCCTATGAAGAAGAAAAACTTGTATGGTTGGTCCAAGTAACAGAGCAATGTCTCAGAAAGAATCCTAAGGAAAGATTGACAATGAATATGGTAAGTTTAATGATATAGAACATGTCAATGTGAAATTGCCTAAACAGAAAAAAAATAAAAATAAAAAATCAAAGAAAACATTCTAAGTCAAAGGAGCTCATGATAGTTTCTAATCAAAAGAACTATATAACAACCTTCAACCCATATCATGAGCTTTAAAACACCTGTTGGATTTTTGTGAGGGAGACAACATTGGGTGAGTATTCATGAATAGGACACAAGGTGTCCATATAAGATAATGAGTAAATTCCAATCCAAAAGATAGATTTTGTGAATGTCAAGAAAATGAGTCATCCTAATGGCTTAATCTTTTAAGTGAACCATGCACAAAGCACAAGAACAACGTATACATGAACGTTTTGACAGTTCACCGATTGCCAAACTCAGAAGTTTAGGTTATTAATTTAGGAATCATTTTATTTGTTGACACAAGTTATGACATGCTCTCTCTCAATGAAAGCACATTGAGCTTGATAGATTGTGAATAATACTAAACATTAGCACATACTGATATCTAAATTATATAACGCAAGGTAGCTGGATCTAACTATATATCCAAAAGGTAAAAACCTAAATTCTAGAGCCCAAAAGTGATTATATAGCTGCTCAACAAGGAAACTTTGAAGCTCAACATAAGGACAAAGCCAAGAACTCCACAAATAGTTTATGGGAGAAGTTGTTTCACAGAGACATATAATTTTATGTCTTTTATTGTTTTACATGAAAAGTTCATGCAACCCTTTAATATGAAGTTCTTTGATACACAAGGATAATGATGTCATTAAAATTTAAAACCAAGATAGCAATGTGTAAAAGTATTTACCTTTTACTTATTTAAGGTAAAGAATAGGTATACAGCTCAAATGCTAATTAAGAATAATAGTAAATAAATAAGTCCTGACATATTCACAATGTAATAAAGAATATAAAAGGAAGCATAGTGTTATGAACAATTCATAAAATACATTGTCAACAGCTTATAATTTAAGCTTACATAAGTTTTCTCTGGGCTATTTCAGGTTGTGTCTTCATTACAAGGTATAGAAGAATCAGCTGAGTGCTGTGTAACTGAAGATTCTTCTCCAGAAAATTCATATTTAAATGACCCTCCCATGACTAGTACACAAGGTAATTTAGGATAACTATGACAAGAAGGCTGAGATATATAGACAAATTAGAAAGCAAGACATACGGATAAAATTAATAGATAGAAAATTGATTGATTTTACATGATTAAACATATAACAGATTTAAATTAACAACCCCACCAATGAAAAATTTAACATCCATGTACATTATGTTGAAGTGGCAACAGGTTTCCTTTTTGAAGTGGAACTTTTCAGCTTGCAACAAAAGTAAGTAACATAGGGATAAAAAAAAAAAAAAATCATATTTTCAATCCAGTCAACCTGAAGTCATATTTTCTGTATAATATTTTACTTAAATATGCCAAATCAATTCCCACAGACAAAATTGTAGACACACAATCACTAGATTAAATACTAGTTAGGTTTGTGCTATCTTTGTTTCTTTAACCTTTGACTCAAGGAGTCTGGATAGATTTAACAATAACCAAATGATAGGCCAAATGAAGGCCGAACCAGTGAAGAAGCAGAAAGAAGAATGGATTGACAGAAACCTACACGAGGAGGAAAGCAGCTCAAAATTGAGAGTCAAAACAAATCACTTGATAGGTCATGGAAATGAAGATCAGATGATACAGGGTGGAGAAGATGTGCAGAGAAGTCCCCATGAGGAGATGTTCAGAGTAACAACTATCAGCAATGACATGATTGATCAGATAAACCCTGACCAACAAATCCAGGAAAAACTGAATATCAACGGAAGCTTTGACATAGAAGAAACGGGTAAAATAGTAGATAAGCAACAAAAGTCGAGCAAGGATAAAAAACAAATAGAGGGAAGCTGTGATGATAGTTTGTTAAATGAGAATGAAGGGAAAATCATTTTGGAAAATTCTAAGTCTTCTGCTTGCTCAGTCTGCAAAAGTATGCGTCCAAACAGTAAATTGCAAAGGAAATATACTTATGAAGAGCTTCAAGCTTCTACAGAAGGATTTTCAATTAAGTATTCTCTATGTGAAGGTGAATATGGACCTGCTTTTAGAGGCCAACTAGATAATAACCAGGAAATAGTCATTAAGCAGCAAGCATTCACAAGCTTACAGGAACAGAAGGTGTTCATGTCAGAATTCCAATTGCTCATAAATGCTAGACATGAAAACGTGATCATGCTTTTGGGTTCATGTATACGATTAAGTCAATTGCTGATTGTGTATGAGAAGGCATGCAACGGTTCACTTGACCAGTACTTATCAAGTAAGGATAAACATGTGAATGTTAAATTTATAACCAGTTATTTCAATGAGGTTTGAGTACTATGTATACGGACTTAGTTATAGTATGTTCATACCAGAGTAAATTTCTGAATCATGCAGGAAAAAATGGTAGATCATTGACTTGGAGAGAAAGGATGAAAGTTGCAATAGGTGTTGCCCGAGGTCTAAAGTATCTACATGAGAATAATATAGTACATGGAGGAATAAAACCAAGTAACATTCTTCTAAATCATGACTTCAACCCACTGGTACTTAATTGGCAACCTTAATGCTGTAGCAATATATATATATTTTTTCAGTATATGCTACTAAGTTTCAATTTGAGTAAGCTAATCTGCAATTTTAACAAACTAACCATTTGTTGAATTAGGTTGGAGATTTTGTGTTTGGAAAAGAAAGATGTGAATTGAAGAATCCAAGCAGGCTTAAGAGTTTGAGGAATTGTGGACGCACTGCACCAGAGTGTCAGGAGAGTGGAAAACAATCAACTAAGGCAGATGTATACTCTTTTGGTGTAGTTCTTCTGGAGTTGATCACTGGTCGTATGATTACAGAAAAAGTATCAGACACCAAATGTCCTGTTGAATGTGTAAGAGCCATATGATTCTATTTCTATAAACTACAGGATCCTACAATTGATTAGTATTATATGAAAGCAACAAATATGTTTCATATTTCTTTGATTTAGTCCAACCATATATGAGAACAGTTTTTGTGTTACTGTTTTTATTTTCCACCTTTCTTTTTTCATCTATCAGAGAATAATATGAGAATTGTGAAAATAGCAATTTATTAGGTACTTCATTTAATATGGCTAAAGTCATTTTTAAAACACATATATATCCTATAGCAGTGAGCCTTTATATGAGTTGTAACTTACAAGCAATTCAAATTCACCACATTTTCTGCCAATAACATATTCAGGTGTTGAAAATTGATATTATATTAGTTGGAGTATATATATATATATATATATATATATATATATATATATATATATATATATATATATTTGTTTTCTGAATCTTATGGTCCTCTTAGTCATTTCATGCTTCATGAACCATTAGAATATACTTGTAAACCTATTCCACAACCTATTTTATTTTACTAATAAGATGTGCTTTGTAAGGCTTCAACTATTTCTATTAAAATGAAACCACAAGTCCTAATTAATGGGAAACTGAGCTTTTTTCTTACATTGATTTTTTATTCCATTTACATACGCACAAATTTCTTCAGATAAGGTCACTTCTTGAAGGACGAAAGTATCTACAGTTGGTGGATCCCAAAGTCAGCAGTTCCTATGATGAACAAAAACTAGTTTCATTGGTCCACGTATTAGAAAATTGTTTGAGAAAGAATCCAAAGGAAAGGTTCACAATGGATATGGTAAGATTTACATAGAGGGAATATGCCAGTTGAAGAGTTAAATTTATAAGTTGAACAAGTTATTTTATACTTGAGTGTCAGAGACACTTTCTATAACACTCTTTTATCGGTTACAATTTGTAGAAAACTATAGAATCAGGGTAGAGATTCACTAAATCAGTTGTAGATTAGGTTTTAATCTTGTCTATCCAATAAACTTCAACTAATAAGAGATAGTGTGTTGAAAAGTATGTGTTTTTAACATTTCTCTTTGTAGGATTACAAGAATTGTTTGTTATGGACAGATATACTGTTGTATTTATAATCATTTGTGCAGGATAATTAAGGTAACAAAACAAAATAAAATCCTTAAGGATCTACTAAATATATTTTATATCCCAATTTGCATTCAACCTAATCAAATCATATCTTCAACATTCTTAATTCAATGAGATTGGTGACAGTTTAATAAACCAGTAAAAACGTAAAAAATAAACTAATTTTGTTTGTGTTAAATTTGATTGAAGGCATGTATGTAGCTGATAGTTGATCAAATCTTCAATACAAGTTATGGTAGTGTCCCAGGACAATGAAAAACTCAATATTTGTATTCAGATTCAGCTGAAAAAGTTATTTCTAAACTATGACAAGAATGTAAAGTCAGTAATATCCTTGCCCTATATTTCATAAATTTTACAAAACTAACAATTCTAGGATATGTCTTGACCGGTGATGTAAATATATCCTAATTACCCTTATGCTTAATTACACTTGTAGTCCTTTTAATTTGAATCATGTATGATTTTGTTTCTTCAAGAAACCTTTGTCACACCCCAAAGGGAGTAAGAGAATCTTTTTTAAGGTAATATGTTGGTTTTACTTCATTTCACTGATATTATTGAGTTGATACATTGCAGGTTGTCTCTGCACTGCCATCTATAGTAGATTTCAATGATATACATTCAAAGGAAGACTTTTCACCAGAAAACTCAAAGGTTTCAGATGTAACAAACTCAAAAGTTGAGGAGGAACCACTAAATGAAGAAGATTTAGGCACAGAGCATAGTGAGGGAAGAGAGGACAACATAACTTGCAGTGGAGGCAATGAAACAGAAATTTGTCAAGGGTGTGACAGAAACCCAACTTGTTGTGAAAATAGAAAGGAAACAGAAGAAAAGCAAAGCTTAAGCACCAAGGTATCTTGGGAAGGGTGCTTATCTTATGGTGGAGCTAAAGAATTTTATAACGAAGGGGCCAAAGAGTACACAGCATGTGAAGAATTTTTCGTCTGGTGTGATTTAATTTGAGCATTTCTTTCAACATTATATGCACTATTTGCACATTTGTTTTGTAACAATATATGAAATAACACAAACATTGAGAGAATCATATTAAAACAACACAAGGAAAAGTAGCATTTCGAAGGTTAAGGTTTTTTATACAGATACGTTTATGTAATATGACTTGCTAAGTGCAAGGATTTCATTTTTTGCATAAAACAAAGATTATACCGGCTTTATTCATGCATCGGTATTATGTTGACACATGAAAAAAAAGACTGTATAGTAACATTGTAGCAAATTTTTATACTGTCATCAGATCACAGAACACCATGTATAGAAAGATTATGAAAGGTTTTTCGAAATTTAGTCACGAATGAGATAATAAACAAGAAAATATCCAAAATTTTAAAGATATTAAGTTTATGAATTTTTCTCATCATTTCTGTTAAGATATTAAGTTGGTGGGATTTTCTAATCATCTTATGTGTCACTCAATTTCTACGTGGGACTTTAACTTCAATCCCAACATACTTTTATAATAATTTCTTCAAAAGTTATACAACAATGATATCGATTGGATACCGTGTAAAACTGTTACACATAAACTTCAATGCATAGACATTAAATTATAGCACAACACCATCTCATATATTTGGTTCCCGTGAGAAAAATAACTTTCATGTCAATGCCAAAAATTGATGGGAATTTTAGGAGTTTTACGAATGTATTGTTAGGAAAAATACACAGAACTTTTCCATGTAGTCAGATCTATGAAAGTGAAATAAAAACGAAATAAAGACGGAATAATTGGACACACCAATTGATAACGGAGTTCGGCCAAAATTGCCTACGTCTCCGGACTATTGCAGATATTTTACTGGGAGAAAAGAAAATACACAGGTGTTTACAAAGCACTCTCAAAACACTCAACCCTCAACCCAATTACACCCAGAAGCTAGATTATTTTCTTTCTGCTTCTTGCTGGCTAACTCTTGTAATGGTTGCTTTGGAATTGGATGATAGAAATGAGTGAAGTGAAAGAGCATTTTATAGCAAAAGGAATGGTTCTTGTGCATTTAAGGCTTTCCAATTTTTCTTGTCTCCAACCACTTGCCATCCAACCACTTGTCAACCAACCACTTGCCAACCAACCACTTGCCACCTTTTTTTTACTTTTCAAACACCAACAATCTCCCACTTGAGGACTGATTTCAATCTGTCCTCACACCTTGATTAATGCAGTAGTCTTCTCCGGTCCGCTACTCTTGCAAGCCAACCGAAGTTGAGCACAACTTCAGCTTTGTCAATGGTCACCACCTTCGTTAGCATATCTCGCTGGGTTCTTGCTTCCTACAATCTTCTTCAATGTTAACACCTCATCCTCAAGTAGAGATCCGATGAAATGATAACGAATATCAATGTGCTTGGTTCTCGAGTGAAATGCTCGAATTCTTTGCCGGATGTATTGCACTCGACTATCACTATGCAAAACACTCCCTTCTTGAGTGAATCCCAGCTCGCTAACAGTCCTTGAAGCCATCTCACTTCTTTATCGGCTTCGTCACTGCTACATACTCAGCCTCTGTAGTGGATAAAGCAACAATTTTTTGTATTCGCGACATCCAACTAACAGTTGTAGTACCAACCGTGAAAACATAACCGGTGGTGCTTCTTTGGTGATCAACTTCACCTCCAAAGTCTGCATCTACGTAGCCCTGTAATCTTAGATTTCCTTTTCCAAAACACAAACATTTTTTTGTTGTTCCTCGTAGATATCTTAGAATCCACTTGACGGCTTCCTAGTGAGCCTTTCCTGGATTTGCCATAAACCTGCTCACAACTCCCACTGCATGGCCAATGTCTGGCCTTGTACAGACCATTGCGTACATCAAACTTCCAATGGCTGAAGCATACGGAACCTTAGCCTTAATTTCTTCTTCTTCCTTTGTATGAGGAGACTGATCCTTGGATAGACGAAAATGACTGGCCAAAGGTGTATTGACTGGTTTGACCTTGTCCATGTTAAATCTTTGCAAAACACGGTTGATGCACTCCTCTTGAGATAACTGCAAAACTCCTTTTTGCTTATCTCTCGTGATTTGCATTCCAAGAATCTTCTTTGCCGGTCCTAAGTCCTTCATGTCAAATTCCTTTGACAATTGCATCTTTAAATTTCTGATATCCCTCATATTTGAACCTACTACTAACATGTCATCAACATAAAGTAGCAATATGATATAACTGGACTTATACCTCTTGAAGAAACAACAGTGATCGGCATTGCACTTCTGGAAACCTTCCTTGTGCATGAAGCTTTCAAACTTCCTGTATCACTGTCTTGGAGCTTGTTTCAGACCGTACAAGCTCTTCTTCAATTTGCACACCATATCCTTCTTTCCTTCTGAAAATCCTTCAGGTTGGTGCATGTAGATCTCCTCATCTAAGTCTCCGTGGAGAAATGCAGTCTTCACATCTAATTGTTCTAGGTAGAGCTCTTCACTAGCCACAATACTTAACACTGTTCTGATAGTATTGAGCTTTACGACTGGAGCAAAGATTTCAGTGTAGTCAACTCCTTCTTTCTGCTGAAATCCTTTGACAACTAGTCGGGCTTTGTATCTCTTGGAACCATCATGGTCTTCCTTCACTCGATACACCCATTTGTTGTGAAGTGCTTTCTTCCCCATGGGTAACTTGACTAGTTCCCATGTCTGATTGGAGATCAGAGACTTCATCTCTTCTTTCATGGCAAACTCCCACTTGCTAGCATATGTGGTTTGACAAGCTTCTATATAATCTTCGGGCTCCCCTCCATCAGTCAGCAACATGTAGTCCATGTATCTCCTGTTTGGCACATGAGGTCTAAAGGACCTTCTCAATATAGGAGTTGGAGTAAGAGGTTCTGGTTGCACATCACCTTCTTCAATTGATTCCTCTGACTGAGGACTCCTCACTATAGGATTTTCTAGGACATCTTCCACTTCTGCAAAAATTGGTCCACTCGATTCTGAATTGCTAATACCTGTTTTATGCATGTCCTTGTACAACACTCTTTCATTGAAGATTACATCTCTACTGCGGATCATCTTTTTGTTTTCATCATCCCATATGCGGTAGCCATACTCATCTTCACCATAACCAATGAAAGTGCACTTCTTTGATTTTGGATCAAGTTTGTTTCTACCTTGATCACTGATATGGACATATGCTACACAGCCAAAAACTCTAAGATGTGAGAGTTTTACCTCTTTTCTGCTCCATACCTCTTCTAGTATTCCGTGCTCCAATGGTACCGATGGACTTCGGTTGATCAAGTAAGCTGCTGTGTTAACTGCTTCTGCCCAGAACTGCTTTGGTAAGCCTGACTGTACACGCAAGCTTTTGGCTCTTTCAGTCAACGTTCGGCTCATACGCTCAGCTACACCATTGTGTTGAGGCGTACCAGGCACGGTCCTCTCCATTCTGATTCCGTGCTCATAGCAAAACTTCTTGAATCTGGTGTCTACATATTCACCACCATTGTCGGATCTGAGCTTCTTAATCTTCAATCTTGTTTCATTTTCTACCATAGCTTTCCAAATCTTGAAAGCTTCAAATACTTCTGACTTGTGTTTCAGAAAGTAAACCCATACCTTTCTGGAGTGATCATTGATAAACGTCACGAAGTATTGCTTCCCATCAATGGATGGGACAGTCGTTGGACCCCAAACATCAGAGTGGACAAGCACAAGTCTCTCTTTCTTTGGAATTCTTCTATTTTTCTGAAAGCTAACTCTCTTCTGCTTTCCAAGTATTCAGTCTTCACACATATCAATTTCTACTGACTGAAGACCTGGTAGTTTTCCTTTTGAGTGTATGATCTTCATCCCTTTCTCACTGATATGCCCAAGTCTTTGGTGCCATAGATTGGGATTTTCATTTGTTGCAACTGCAATCAAATGACATGCTCCTGCAGTCTTGTAAAGAGTACCACTCTTTTTGCCTCGAGCAATTGTCATCGCACCCTTTGAGATCTTCCAATCATCACCGTGGAAGATTGTTGTGTAACCTTTACTGGCTAACTGACTCACTGAGATTAAGTTCTACGTCAGGTCGGGAATATGTCTGACATTTTTCAATTCCCGTACAGACCCGTTCAACTTAATCTTTACTGTACCTTTACCTACAATCTCACACGATTGCTCATTACCAAGGTAAACTTTACCAAGATTTCCGGGAACATAATTCTCGAACAGTTGCTTTTGTGAGGTAGCATGGAAAGATGCTCCAGATTCTAACACCCAAGACTCCTCCTTGCTTTCTAAAGAGCATATCAACACATCATCTTTCCCTGAGGTAGAGGCAACGTTTGCCTCGTCCTTCGCTTCTTGATTCTTTCGTGCATTCTTGCACTGATTTTTGTAATGCCCGGTCTTCCCACAATTCCAACACTCGATTTGCTTCGAGTTTTGGGAACTACGATGATTTCTGGACTTTGATCGTTTGCCCTTTGATTTTCTGCGTCCGCTTTCTTTGGTTGAACTTCTTCCTCTTGACTCTGTATGCAATACTGAAGAGGTTGATGATTCACCCGACTCCCTCCGCCGGATCTCTTCACTGAGAACCAAATTACGAATATCATCAAATTTTAACTTATTGTTTCCCGATGAGCTACTCACAGCTGTGACAGTAGCATTCCAACTTTCTGGTAGAGAAGAAAAAAGTATCAAAGCTCGTACTTCATCATCGAACTCGATCCCAACTGAACTCAACTGAGTTGTAACAGTATTGAGCTCATTGATATGTTGCGCCGTTGAAGCGCCTTCAGACATCCGTAGATTGAACAACCGCCTCATCAAATGAACTTTGTTTGAGGCTGATGGTTTCTCGTACATACTAGAAAGAGTATCCATAAGACCTGCTGTCGTCTTTTCTTTTGCAATGTTAAAAGCAACATTACGGGATAACGTCAGTCAAATGGCTCCAAGGGCCTTTCTGTCGAGAAGAGTCCATTCCTCCTCTTTCATACCCTCTAGTTTCTTTCC